ATTGCAAATAATAATGCAACAATCATCAACAATTCAATGCTTGCTAACATTTCCAAGTTGTTGAGTGGTCAGTTGCTGTCAAATATTAACAGCAACCTACTTGCCACTATCAATAATTCGTACAATAACACTGAACATGTTGGCCAACTCAACAACAACAATGATAATAACAACAACAACAATAACAATAATAATGTCACCTATAAAGAAATTACAGTTCCAACAAAGCCAGTTGCTTCAGCCCTACCATCCTCCTTATTCACACAGGCAATGATTGTACCAACGCAACTTTTTGCCAACAATAATAATACAAACAACTTGAATGTAACTAACAGTAATAATAATTTAAACAATAACAATACCGACAGCAACAACAATAACCAACAACAACAAAATGCATTTACTTCACCTCTCATTATAATCAGCCCTAATCAACTTCAGCAACAACCTATCTTTCTTCCTTCTGGTCATGTAAGTTGAAAAATTTTTTAAACCCCATATATCATATCTTTTGTTTTTATCATTAAAACAATCTTATGCAATATAAATATTAATGTCCTTCTGGATTCTTTGTCATCTTAGCACAGATAAATATATAAATATTCGTTATATCAACTTGACAGTTTTTGCAGGGTATTCAACCAAGCTTTATATTCAGCTCTGGTGATGCGCTCAGTCAAGAAACTCTCCTCAAATTGGCTCAACAACAACAACTCCAAAGTGCTTCGAACAATAACAACATCCCTGCAAGTCTTAATAACATTGCAAACAACAACAATAGCAGTAGCAATGGCAATTTCAACTGTGCAAAAGACTCTGCTGATTTAATAAAGCTAAACAACAATTCATTGCTGAATGCTGACAACAAGCAACAAGTTGTCTCAAACAACATTTCGAAGAAGAGGATTAAAAGGGATGCAGATGTTGAAGACAACACTCCTAATAAAAATATGGGTTTTACTGTCAAATTGGCTATTCCTGAGGTTTGAAAAAAGTATTTTTATAGTTATGTATCATTTTTGCTTAAATTACTTAAACAAGCTTTTTTGTTTTTTCTCTGTGTATTTTTGCAAGTGTTATCTCCTTGTGTATGTGCAAGCGAGTGTATGCTTTTTTGTTAGTTTGTCAGCTGAAATAATTTCGTTCATTTCTTAAAATTGATTCCAATTCTACAGCCAGAAGAGAACATTGAATTAGAAGAGTTAGAGAAGTTTGCAAAGATGTTTAAAAAAAGAAGAATGGAACTAGGTTTGACATGTTTATCTTTTTGTAGTTGTTTGAGGAAATTTTAATTAGTTCTATTATCTATTGTTCAGTGGATGAAAAATTATTAAAAGCTTATTTTTTTACCGTGTGAGTTTTTATATAGTAAATTGTTGATTCCAATAGAATCTGTTTGCAAAAGATTTGTTTTTTTCTTTGTGATTGTTCTATGTTAATTGTTTAATGATTGATGTTTTTGTCCTATTACTTATACTGACTTGATATATGTTGCTTTCTTTATAACCTGTCAGGATATACACAAGGGGACGTCGGATCAGCTATGGGCAAACTCTATGGTAATGATTTCAGTCAGACCACAATTTCTCGATTTGAGGCTTTAAATCTAAGTTTCAGGAATATGTGCAAATTGAAACCATTGCTGCAGTTATGGCTTGATGATGCAGATGACCGGTTATTCAATTGTTTTCATTTTTTATTATAATAAACTCAAATGTTTTATTTAATTTTTTGTTTGCTACATGTATTTTCATGATAATACTAATTTAAAAAATTTTTGATTTTAACTAGACATCGTTTGCAAGAGGAGCAAGGTGATATGCACGATAATGGCTCTGGGTCATCTTCAAGAAGGCGCAAGAAAAGGACGAGCATCGATGCTAACATTAGAATCACTCTAGAGAAAATGTTTCTTGTAAACTCAAAACCTACTTCTGAAGAAATTTCTAGTTATGCTGATAAAATGAACATGGAAAAAGAAGTACATTATTCTTTCACCTTTTTTTTTCTTTATTATCAATCATATGAATTTCAGTGTGACGTAAAAACTTTATGTAATTTAAAAAAAAAATCGATAAATTATTTTTATAAAATAAAAAAAAACAGGTGATAAGGGTGTGGTTCTGCAACAGGCGTCAAAAAGAAAAACGCATTAACCCTCCATCACTGATGAATTCGTCATTGCCGTTGAACATAAGTGTAATGGAAGAAGAGGAAGACAATAACTTGAAGGAAGTTGATATGGTTCTTGAAAGTAACAACAACGTTCTCAACGGTGACGCCACGACAACTCAATTTAATGATGCAAGCGGTGAAATTAATGACTCATTCAATGCTCCTTCTACGTCATTATGTTATACGATTGCCCCGAATATTCATTCGTCGTTAAAGTGTGAACAGTTTTCTGAAGCTAATATTACGAATAGTTGACGTAGTTTTGTGATTTGATCTTTGTAAATAATTGGTTGTGCACGTCAAACGATTGTGTGATTTTTTTTTATGCTTCATTTTCATGTTCATTTATGTGACAAAATAAAAAGCTATCGGTAACAATGTACAATCAATATATTTTACAATAAATTTTGGCTCCAGGCAGTCGACGTTGGCAGATCTTTTTATAACTAATTTCTGATATATTAGTTTTCTTTATCTATGGTTCCAATAGACAATTTTTTTGAAAATCGTTTTTCAACAAATGAAGATGGCAGAATATGTCATCGTCAGTCTAACTAAAGTTACATTTTGTGTTTTTGTCGGCCTTCTCAACATGCAAACGACGTGCAACCCAACCCAACGTGCAAACGACCTAACCCAACGTGCAAACGACCCCTAGCCGCCCATATAGTTGCTTGCGAAGTAGTAAGGTTTAGCCCTTGATTTTTTCAGGACTGCATGAGTGGAATTGTATTCACAAGTTATATTCTCATGTTGGAAGGTATCTTTATATTGTGGTTTAATTGCTTAAAAGGCTATGATTGTTGGGTAATTTTTTTTGTGCACGTTTATGCTTATGAAATCAACGTGTTTTGCACATTGGATATAAATTTTGTTGAATGAATTTTAGTATTGTTACAAGTGTCAAATTTTATCTCTAAAAGTTTTAAAGTTCTATCTACTCTTCTTATATATATCCATGTTAACAACGCACAAACATCGTGTATGATTACATGTTGCATGACGCAAGCACGAAGCGTATTATAGGTAGGTTGGGACTGAGATCTGGTGTGCTTAGCAGATTGTCTTTAAAAAGTTTCAACGATACTTAAACTATATTGAGACGGCTCGTGGTACAAACATTGTACAATTTCGATCTTCTTGTGGCCCAACGTGTTGGAAGGCTGCTTTTATAGCATTTAGAGTAATTAATAAGTTGTATTGTTATGTTTTGATTTATTGATAGATTGTGCTAAAAGTTGTGTTGAAAGTTTTGTAGTAGTGTATTTACAGGCAGGAAGATAGGTAATCTTTGATAGGCATTCAAAGGTTTTTCAGGAGATTTGGCTGACATTTTTTTAAATTGGTGTTGCGGAAGAATTTTGTCAATGGATAATTGACAAAAGTAGTTTTTTCGGTAGGTTATCTCGAAAGACTGTTGATATATGTGTCGATCATGTCGATAGTATGTGTAGATTATACGCGTAGAAGTGTAGACATTTCGTTAGACATCAAAATGTTTAAAATTTTATTTGCATTATTAATATAATTACTGTTTCTATTTTTTGTTGTGTTATGTTAATACAATTGACTAAAAATCTGAAAACTATTATGTTATTATACAGATTAAACGTTAAAGGATATCTATTTGCTCAGAAATCTTTCGAAAGGAATGGTACCTATAGGAACCTCCAAAAATTTTAACAAAAATGATTGGTGCTTTTATATCCAATTTCGTCGTATTTGTATTCTGTGTTCAATTTTTAGTTTTTGCGATATTCTATTTTAATATTCTCCGAATTTTTAATGTTCCAAAACGTTTACCAGCAACAGCCTACTGGTTATGTGCCAGTTGTTAGGCCAATGAAATATGTTAAGAAAATTAAAGAGCCCTCGACGCCAGTTTTGTGCGAGATTTGTAACCTCAAGTTAAATTCGACTTCCCAAGCTGAGGTCCACTTAAAAGGCCAAAATCATTTGAAGGCCGTGAAAAAATTAGAAAAAGCGTCGTCCGAACAATGTTCTGAAGGTGAAATGAACGGACTGAATAATACCGTAGACTTCAATTCGACGATACAGAACATACCAGTCATTCAACCATCATGTTGGTCACTATTCTTCAGTATTCTTTCCAATTTATTTCATTCTAAATCTTTTATAAAAAAATTTTCATTCTTATTTACCTAAAGTTTAGGTAAATAAGAATGAAAATTAGGTCCTAAACCTGAGTTATTATGTTATTAACGAACCAATAAATAAAATAAATTATCAAAAATCTAATTGTTCTTAGAAGATAGATAGATTATTTCTGTTGGCTGTTTGACTGATTAAATTAAATTAAATATTCTGTTATAAGATTATAATAACATTATATAAATATGTATGTTTCTGTATGGTGTCATTTAATTTTTATTAATACAGTTGTTTTAAATGTAATGATTATATATATATTTTAATATTAAAATAAATTAAATTACAGCAAATAAATGTAACATTATTGTGGACTAAAATTGTTAATAAATTATAAAATTTTTTATGCAGCTCAAACAGTTTCAGACAAAAGTGATGAAAACAACACTGAAGGAGGAAAATCTGAACATACTGAGCCTAATCAAAAAAGAACAAAGACATTAACTTATGTCTATTGCGAAGTATGCATGGCTAAGTTTAACTCTCAGGCTCAAGCTGATGATCATTTCAAAGGATTGAGGCATTTAAAAAAGTTGAAACTGATGCAAAAGTCTGCTCATATTGGTAATATGTTTATATGTTTTCATAGCTATTTCTCTGGACCAATCATTGTTAGTTACAATATGGTTTAAGTTTATAATATTTTTGTATTTTTATCTTCAAATTAGTTGCATATAATAAGCCACATAATACGAACATGTCGATGGTGAGAAACCAAACCTTGCATAGTTGTGTGGTCTGTGGTGTCACATTAAATTCTAGTCAACAATATGAACAACATTGTCTAGGTAAGCGTGAGTTTTATATTTTATATTTATTTCAGTACCAGATACCAATACCAGGTCTGTTGAATTAGTTTAAATGATTTCAATACTTAATGTTACAGTAATGGGGTAAATTAATACTTTTGCTCAAGCACAACCTACCAAAAACAAATTTCAAGTACTTGTACTCATATTTTACTTTAAACTTAGGTATCTGTTTTTGTACTCATATACATTGAGCACATTGAGTTTTTAGTTAATAAATGTAATAAAATGTTACATTTATTCAAGTCTTGTGATGCATGAATTTTTGGGAAGTTGTGTAAGTGTCCAACGTTAATCACTCTTATCAATCATATATAATTGCACTTGTACTTGAACTAAAGTACTTGTAATCGAGAAATAATTACTCATACCTGTACTCAAAGAAAAGTACTTTTACACATCACTGTCGTATGATTCAAGAGTTTTTACGTTTTCCAGAAACGAGTATTTCTATCTTCTATCTCAACATAAAAGCAACTTGACTAGCAATGTAAAAGTACTACAGTCATATCTTTTTAATTTTAAATGATTTTTGTTCTGGCCAGTCAACTACTATATTTACCTTTGAAAACCCTTTTAAACTCTAAACGAACTGATTATATTTTATTATTTTATTTCTGTGACAGAAATTTATTTTCACTGTTCAGGTCAAACTCATAGAAGCAAAATTATCAATCTGACTTCCGTTAACAAAGAAATGATAGGCAATGTCAATGGATGGTTTTATTGCAATTCATGTAACATCAGTTGTCCAACATCTGCAGCACTTCATAACGTTAGTTGGCATTTACAATGTTTGTTCACTTCCTACAAAAACTTTCTATTCCAACAAACATTCTCAGTCATCAGCATTTGTCAATTAGACAAGTAATTGTTTTAAAGCAATTTGCGCATGTCAATGCAAAACTGTTTTTCAAAAGTACAAAGTTACAAGCTCACAAATTATAGTGAAATTTTTTAAGCCAAATTTGTAATTATATCTAAATTTTGTGGCTTGTTTGTTCAACAGCAGTCTTTTGCATATGTTCAGTGCTCTATGTTATCAAATCAAGTCTGTGATTTTCATTTTTAACCTTTCATCCAACTCTCCGTGTTTTATTGGTGATTTTTTTCGGTCGTTCAATCACGTTTTATATATAACAATAAATTTAAATTATTTTTATTTTCTAGCATGTTATGACTATGGAGCACAAAAGTAATGTTGGTTTTAAAAATTCTCAGCTGGAAAACACTTACATTAACTGTTCTTATCCCATTCCATATTGACAAGGAGCGCTCATGTTTTTCATTCATTTATATTTTTTCAAAATTATTGTAATTATAATAAATTGGTAAATTGTTGTTGAAGTATGGGCTTTTGTTTTGTGAATTAATGACCAAAGTTTTAAGTTTTATTTAATATGAAAATTTTTAGAAGAATCTCATTTCTATTTTTGTTAATAAAATTAGAGTTTGTAAGACTCGATTATTTGATTTTTTAAACTTTTTGCAATGTGTTAACTTCTCAATGTGACCATATGTTCTGCTTCCATCATACGCCCATACGTATTTCACACACAAATATATATATATATATATATATATATATATATATATATATATATATATATATATATATATATATATATTAGTTTATAAGGATCATGCAAATTTTTTTTTAATCTTTTATAAAATTAAACATCATTAACGAATTTAACACTACAGAATAAGCTTTTTTTCACCAACATTAATTTGCACCAATATGGAAGCACCTATCTACAGCCCAGACAAATAAAACCGCATATAGATACTGTCGAAACATCGACAAAATATTTGTTGCCTGAAACAATCTTGATACAATTTTAAACAACATACAACCAAACCAGTCAAAATTCAAACTTACTGTAGAACATTCTCCCGAAGACTAACCACCATTTCTCGACGTCGAACAAATTGCTTCTAAACCACCGTGTGCATAAGAAAGAGCAACTAACTGAGGGATGTGCCTCATTTGTAGAAGTGAATGCACTGAAGCCGTATATATAGAGTATATATATTCTATTTATATGACTGAAGCATTCTTATATAGCACAGTTGGCACTTCTGTTAATCGGACATACATTGAAGACATTCATATATAGAAAACTTTTCTATTTGTATTGGTGGGTATATTATAAGTTCATCTTTATCATGAGTAATTTTCTAAATCACTATTTATTTTTTTAGTTGTCATATGTAAGATTGAGTTGAATGCATGTCTGAGCGTTTGCATTAATTTTGAAAAATTTGCAGTTTTGTATAAACCATCGGTAATAATCAAACTAAAAAATTTATCATTTATTTATTATTCAATCCAAGTGTGGTGTGCAACCCCTGTAACCAACCATAGTCCAATTGAAGGCTTAACAATAATAATCAGTTACATCCCTAATTTGTTATCATTGATTTCGCTCAACTTTTACATTAACGCTTTTGTTTTTCTAGATTTTTAACATTTTAAATTTTTAAAAATGAGAAAAAGATCAGTTTCTAGAGAGGTTTTCCGAGGTTAATGATTTTTTAACAATAAATTTTTTTTTTAAATTGATAATTTTTTTTGATAAACCTTTCTTTATACATGGGCAGCGTGATAATGGTCTACATTCCCTACACTACAACCAGCTATCCTGGTATTACCTAACCAGCCTACTTACTAGTCACCAGTCTATGCTTCTCATGTTACGTAATGACCTGATTCGAATACAACGAGAGAATTGTTGATTCCTCCGATTTTTAGATTTAGGAGAGTGTATGTAACATAACGTAACCTGTAACATTTTTCATGCTAATAAAAAAATATAAAATAAAGTTATTATAGCTTATTCTTACTGAGAGGTACAGGAGCCTGAGTATTTTGAAATTATATTTCATTTTATTAATAATATATCCTAACTAATTATATATAGTTTAGTTTAGTTATAATAATTTTTTTAAATAATTAATTTTAATTTTGTTTAAGTTCATTTATTTAGTTCATAAAATAAATTATAAATAAAAAATAAACAAATAAATGAACTGGATAAAATAAATAATACTTAAGCAATATACTAAGTTTAAAAAAATAATAGTAATTTAATTTATTTTATATAATTATTTTAAAAGATGGTATGTATGACTATGTCTATAAATAATTATATTGTAATATAATATGTTATATTAATATGGAAGGTGGTAACCAATTGTTTTGAAGTTGATGCTTATCTTACCTTGATAAGTTAAATTTCCGTAATCCAGGTGCACTTAATAAATACATAAATTTTTTGAAAATATTTCATGAAGCTCTTTGCGATATTAGAATGCTTGTGCTTTGTATTTTTAAAATTGAATTATTTAGAGTTCAATCATTTTGAATTAAAATTTAAAAGGGTGTGGATGTTTTCAAAATAATAATATTATTTATAGTACAAGTACGGCCTTCCGTATATAATTGTTTGTTTGAACATATGCAAATTTTCAATCACATTACCTATTATTTGATTTAGTTTAAATTCATTTTTTAACGTTTCAGGCATTCAAAATGTTGACATTGAGATGTTGTCAATGTTGCCCGAACAAGATCTCAGACCCATATTACCATGCCTGGTCAGGATGTCTCTATGTTCTCCTTTGGACAATAGTTCGGCATGGACTGCTAAACGAAAATTAATTTTAAAGTGCTTATCTGGTATTGAGATAGTAAATAATTTGGTAAGTTTGTTGTCAATTGATTTTCATGATCTAGAAATTGCCACTAAAGACCGTCAGTTAAAACTTGGTAACAGTTCAAGAGAGTCATTGGTGAATGGTCAGGTAAATCAAGGATTAGCTTTAGAATTTGAAAGGTCGGAAGCTCCGAGAAAGTTGAGGTTTTTACTGTCAGAAATGTTGTCCATAACTGCCCAAGTGGCAGATCAAAATGACAAATTTTTAGAAAAATCTTCAGAACTATTTGAAACAGAAATTTATTTAGATGAAGTGTCTGATGTTCTTTGTATTACACAAGCAGAGCTTCCTCACTTGTTGCCTATGTTGCAAGTTGCTGAAGCATTACTGCATGTAAAAAATGGATCGTGGTTGTTATGCCGACTGGTAGCCAACACTCCTGAATCATTCTTGGATGTTTGTAGACATCTGGTGTCACTTGGACCTAGACAAGATTTTGATTCAGTGGAAAGCCAAAGAAGATGTGATGCACTGTTAGCTCTTTGCGATATCTGTCCATCCCATATGCTCACAGTCAGATCTATGTGTCTGGAAAATTGTAAGTTGCCTGATTTAGCTCTACAGTTAACACTGAACTACAATGAAGAACATTGGGTGGAAGATAGTTTACAAAATATCCTAACATTTATGTGTGGAATCTTGCTCGATAGTGATTTGAGTAGCAGAAGTTGGTTTTCTCAATACATCAGGCTGTGTGACAAAAAGAAAGATTTTCATTCAGCTGTTTCTGTCATGCGTGAAAAGTTATTAAACGAAATGTGCATTAGTTTGCTATCAGCACATGAATTGACTACTGATGACATGCTTGTCAAAGCTTGCTCAATTATTAGACTATACAGTACTTTGAAATGTGTTGCAGGATTGAAATTTTCCGAAAAGGAAAACAGCACATTGTTGAAACTGGTACTTAAAAAATCTCCAACAAGTAAATCTGGCATGAGATTCATATCACTTGGCCTGTGTATGTTGTTGGCATGCCCACATTTGCTGGTGACTGATGAAGAAGAAAAGAATGTCATATCATGGTTGAAGTGGCTCCTTGATATAAGTGACGATTATGAAATTTTATATGATGGGGAATCTTCATTTGGAGAGATGTTGCTTCTGTTGGCTATTCATTTTCACAGTGGCCAGAATAATGCCATTTCAGAGCTAGTTAGTGCCACATTAGGTATAAAATGCCCCACCAAGGCAAGTGCACTCATGCGACTGAAATCCATTTTCACTGTTAAAGTTTTTAATGAACAGGTTATTACTACACTTATTGTTTATTTTAAAAAATTAAATTTTATGCTTTCATTAATGAGTTTTCAATTTAGCCCTGAAAAGTGTTAAATTTATATATTGTTGGCTATTAGTTAATCTTTACGACAGTTTATTTTTGAATAAATAGTTAATCTTTTCAGCTATTAGCTTGTCAGATGATTTTCCTCCACCCACACTCCATTCACTCCATACATTTCTCAATGTTTACACGTTTCAACTAGGAGACTAGCTATCTCCAATGCACAAAAAAGTTGCAGTAAATTTTCTGTCTACTATACATACTGTTTCATATAACTATAAATGAGTTTTCTTAGTTTATATACTGAATATGTTTGTTTTTGTATTAAATTTTATTACCGTTAAGTTTTTATTTTGTCTTATGTTATTAGCGTTGCTGCTCAGTTATTTGGTTGGGTATTAATGTTTTTAGTATTTTCAATGTTCATTTCAATCATGCATTAACACAAGACCTAAACTTCATTGTAAAACGAATTCAATGTTTATTCTATGTTTTTTTAGTATTTTTGCTTTTTAGAAATCATTTTAACTCATAACTTTATACAAAATAATTGAGCATTGATTTATTTTAATAATATTTATTTTAATAAATACTTCACTTAATAACCGTTTTGAGAACTAAGTATAAAAAAGTTGGCAGGGAGGGTTGAAACTATTTTGAGCAAAAGTACTTCAAGGTATAGAATTTTGTAAAATTAGCTGAATGTATCAAACAATCTTGCTGGCAACTGTTTCCTTATACGGATTGTTTAATTAACAACTTGTGTCAAATTTTAAATTTCTTCATTTAGTATATATTTTAAATTTTGAATTTTAAGCTATAACTAACCATCATTGTTTTCCCAAAGGTTGTAGCTGCTCATGCTATAAAAGTTCAGGTTACTAAAAACCTCAGTCGCAACATCAAAGGTTTCCTCCCCATCCACTGTATTTATCAATTATTAAAAAGTCGAACATTCTCCAAATATAAAATATCAATTAAAGACTGGATAAGTAAGCAAATGAGGGAATGCAAATTTCCTATCCATCCTATATTAAGACTGTTGATCGATGCCTACGTCAACTCAATATTGCTACCCAGCACAAAATCTGATAGATCTAACGAGCCAATTTCAGAAACAAATCTTGCAAACGTTTTTCAAAAAGATAGTTATTCTTTGCCTGTTAAATTGGTACATTTGTATTACGTTATGTTCTACCAAGATGTTCTTATGACTAACATGAACACATTGCAATCATCTAACAGACCATTTGTTAGTTATTCATCTTCATTCGTCAACAACATACCTGTCAAATTTCTTATGCAATCTGCCCAAACAAAAAGTTCTCAAATGGCAGGCATGTTTTCAAATTTGTTGGGGTTGGTAGCCATCCATCAACCACATCTGTGCAACGCTTATGACTGGTTGTGCTGTCAGGATGTCGATGATTCTCTTACAACAAATTTCAAGTTGGATAAAACATCTAAAATTGTCATCAGTCCGGAATCGTTGCAGAATGCACTCAAGCTTCTCCCATTTAATTACAGCCAATGTTGCTTGATTCTCGAAGAATTGTCAACATATCAGGCTGCAGAACTAATAAACTACAAAGAAATTTTCATTAACGATTTGTTGTTATTTCTTGATGACTGCACCCCAAGAAGATGTCAAGATTTAATTTTAATCATCTGGAACACACTAAATTCATATTGTCCTGATTTAAAAACGTTGACAGTGAATGCTTTGAGTTACAAAACAGATAACCTTGGTACTAGTTATTATAAAGAGGAAGATTTAGTTACAGACCCATTAATTGTTCTTCGTTGTGACACTCGAGTTTTCAGATGTCCACCTCTCATGGAAGTTCTTCTACTGATATTAAATTGTTTTTTGCACATGTCAAAAACATTTCTAAGTAATCATATATTTGGCACTCCAGTTTTGGACAGTAACAAAGTCACTGGTGCAAGCGACAGAGAAGAACTTCGAGTGGCTTTAGTAGCTGCTCAAGAAAGTGCTGCTCTTCAGATTTTGCTAGAAAGTTGTCTGCCGCTCTCTGTTGATCAAGAAAAAAATGAACTGCTATTATCAAATAAAAGAGAAGTTCAGTGCTTAGTATGCTCCCATATACATCAAAAATTCATTTCGGATCCTAGTTTAGCTAAGCTGATACATTTCCAAGGTTACCCTTTGCAACTGATTCCCATAACTGTTGCTGGTATATCTTCAATGCACATATGCCTTGATTTCCTTCCTGAACTGATAGCACAACCTCAACACAACAAGCAGTGCTTTGCGATAAAACTGGTGTCTTATCTTAGTCTCCAATATCCGGTACCCAAATCTCTATCTGTAGCAAGATTGTGTGTAAATGTTATGAAAACTTTGTTGTCCGTATTAACGAGTGAGCAGAGGCCTGCTTTTTACGTCAGCACTCTTCCTGACTTGGTTCGGTTTTGTACTGCATTTCCTGTTATTACTGATGACACTCTGCATTTTCTCAATCAACTCGGAGCAATAGTAAGATCGGAAATAGCGGTCAAATTTGACAGTTTGAATTCGATGATGATTCTTTCTAATGACGGTTGTGAGGATTTCGATGAACATTCAACATACACGAACAATTTAGATTCTGCGCCTGTTAACGATGTTATGTTATATAAACGCATTTTAAAAACATTTGACGAAGTCGTTGGTGCAACAAATCTACTCAAATCAAAGCTGAAAACATGATGCTGAGATTTTTTAATAATCACATATTTTTGTTTGTTTTTAATAATATTTTATATTTGGTTTCTGTAAATTTTGTCTGTATCTCTATGATAGTTTTTGTTTCATTTAAAAAAATTGTTTTAAATTTGAACAATATCATTGAACGAATAAAACTTAACATCTTTTTAAACTTAAAAAGGATACATTCTAATGCGACGTTATAAGTTTAGGTTTAATTAGATTTTACTTTTTTAAATATTGTGAATTCCTTAATCGACGTAGACTTCCAAGACAGGCAAATCGTGTTTTGCGTTTTCATTCTGTGTATCATCAAATATTTAAGTCGAAAATTTGTCTAATTTTTTTCTTCGTTTTGAACAATCATTACATAAAGGAAACCTTCAAAAGGGTAACTCTTGATGAAGCTGAGTCCCCCGCAAAATAAAACGTAAACTATATCAGAGGAAACATTTTAACCATGAAAGTGAAAGTTGAAATTAAATAAAATCGCATCAGAAAAATATCGGGAATCAAAATTGAGATAAAACAGAAAATAAGTGAAAGATGAAATATAACATTTGAAATTAAATGTTGCACCAAAATTAAATCGAATAATTAGTGAAAAACAAAGTGTAATATTTAAAATCAGATGCTGCACAAAATTAAACCAATATAATTTGATAATAATGCGTCAATTCGTAAAGTGCCAGTTGCAAGATTGGTTCGGTAAAGGCACCCGGACCCTGCATCCGCCAATAAGCTCCGCCGACAGACCGTTTCACACACGTGGAGCCGCATGACGGAAACCGCGAAATGTGGCTTAGCTACTGAATTATTTAAAAAGGATAAAGATGATGGACGTCATTCATTGTTTTGTGGTGGCTGGTGAAGAAGTTGTTGAGCAATTTGAAAAGAAAATTGTCACTCATTACATATCTGAACTTGGCAAAAGTCCAAAAGTTGCGGGATTTGAGTGGTACAAAAATCAGAGTTGAAGAATGAGCGTTACGGGTTTGGATCTGAAGACATGGAGTACCTTGCTAAGTTACTAGAAAATTATGGGATGGAAACCATCGCGAATGGAACCGTCGATTTGATGAAATATTAAGCAAGGAAGAGCAGTATTCATTGATGTACAAATTGACTGAGCTATATTACTTCAGCATGCCAGTAGAACAATAGTTCGCGAAAAACCAGATGTTGAACAATTACGAAATTAAAGCAAAAATCATCGTCAAGGATTATCATTCGCGTATCATGAAAAGAAACAGATTCATCTTTCTGCCATTTGTGAAAGAAAAATTTCTTAATGATACGTGCAGCCTGTGTTCGGAAAAATTTTGTACAAAGTCATTCGTATACATGATGGAATGCAAACATGTGACTCATGTTTGTCTTCGAGACTGGCTGAAGAAGGAAACATGCCTTACTTGCAAACGATGCTATGTATTCCGAAGTAAAACATTCGCTAACTACACACTGAAAAAGAATGACAAAGGAGAAAGATTACTCAACATTTTTTTGCAGATTAAATAACATTTTGTGACATTAAACTTCATTACATTTCTCTTTAATTAAGATAACTTAACTTGATGTTTATCCATGAATTGATATTAAATTGGCAAACTCGTGCATGTATTATATGGTTTGACTGAATTTTGGTCTCAAAGTTCGAAAATAATGTAGTAGTAGCAGCAACAGTAATGCTGTTCTGGAGGTTATCCAGAGAGCAAACTGTCAGAAATGCTAGCACAGCTGTTTCGTTAATTGATTGTTGTTCATCCAACAATCAATGCCTGCCATAAATTTGTTCATTGATTGTGCACCAACAAATTCATTTGGTAATGAGTTCCAAGTATTTGCGACTCCTTGAATAAGTAATTCTGTCTGCCTATGTCTTGTTAACTCTTTAAAATATTTCAAAATATGACCTTGCGTTTTAGTTTTGACTATGTTAAAACGATTATTTAAATCAAATTTGTCCAAATTATGCATGATTTTAAACAACTGAATCAGATCTCTTCTTTTTCTTTTTTCCACCAAAGTTGTTATTCCTAATTATTTAAGACATCTTCGTAAGCTAGGTTTCTTATAAACGGAACCAACTTTGTTGCTCTGTGCTGGACTCTTTCGATTACCTCGCTATCACCATATAGATCTGGAGACCAAACTGATACTGCAAACATCTTTAGTATCTTTGGCAAAATAAACGGTTGGTACCATAGATACAAAAATTTATTTTAAAGTTTGACACGAAATTCATCATTGTAGCCGTAATTGCAACAGAGCTTTGTTTTAAAATTTGAAATAAATTTTCAAACTGCTTATAAAGTTGATTATGAAATACTTTGTAAAACATAGAAACATTTATTTCTAGGAAATCTTAAGGTTTGTGTTAAAAACATTTGTGTTTACTTTATAATATTGCTTCTAAACTTAATAAGGTATATTAAAATGTTGATTGTTTTTGGTATATATTGTATATAGCTATAGACATATTTGAAGAATAAAATAAAAGGGTATATGGATATTGTCGATATACATATATATAGAATATTTACATATATTCTATATATATGTCGATGTATTAAACAACATTTACATCAATAAGTATTGCGTTATCTTTGCCACTTTTCTATAGATATATGTAGATCTTTTTTTTACAACTATAAAAAGTCGATATATATAGTAAATAACATTTACTTGCGTGCCATTACAATCTATAAAGTTTATGTTTCCATATTCGGTCAGCTGTTCTCGTTATCATCTGCTCTGCGGCGTTTATTAATAACGTTTTAACCTCACGACTTATTAGAAATCATGGGAAAAAAGTCGAGGAAAGGTAATTTTGGATAAATTTTTGATAAAAATTTTGTTTCGGTTTCTTTTCATTTTATATGGCTAGATTTTCAATTATCGCTCAATGTCTGTCCGGGTTTTTTTAACTAAAAAGCGGGTTACGCTTCTAAGTTTAAATTATTCAAATCAAAATTCAATTATTGCTTTCAGAGTTCAAAAAAAGTTCGAGTAGAATAAGAGATGACTTTGACGACGACGGACAAGAAGAGATGGATTTTGAAGATGTAAGCCAGGATGCTGCAGGTTTGTCTGTTTTCAAAGGTTTTTTTTTATTATTTAAAGTTAAAAGAAGTGGTTTAGTTAGTTAGTAATTATTTATTAAAATGAAAATGATAAAATAAAATTTATTTAATAATATTTAATACAAATTTATAACATTTTATTTATTTTATTACGTTTATTATTTTATTACGTTATTATTATGTTTTATTTGTTTTTATTTATTACAAATGTATTTATTTATTATGCCCTACCTCAGGGAACTGGGTCTTTGAGCGCTAAACGAAGATTGATTGATTTAATTTTTAATACAAATTTATAAAATATAATGATAATTAGTGAAACGTCTGCTTGAAAGCACATAAATTAATGTTGTCCACTCAAATGTTAATTTTCAGAAAACTGAAATAACATAATTTGCAGTCTGAATTTCAAGCAATAAATTAGAATAAAGTAACATTTTTAGACATTTTATTCACATTATAATAATTAAAATTTTATGTCAACAACAGTAATATTTGTGTATTTATTTTCATACAAATACTTTTTTTCTTCTATGTAATGAATGAAATTTTCTAATGAAACATGTTATAATATCATTTCACACTAGATGAAGATGTGGGCCAGAATGTTCCAAAAGTTGCCAGTAAACGAATAAAAACAGACGACGTTGAAGATGAATTTCAAGCAAAAGATTTCAGGTGTCAATTGGCAATGAAGACAGATAATCAATCTCGGCCATTATGGGTGGTGAGTATAGCAAACATTTTATTTTCAACTGAAATTCAGTTATGCTGATACTTAATTTATTGGTTTATTTTTTTGTTTGTTTTGTTGTTAATCTTTTTCTTAATTTACCTTTTTATTAACTGACTCATGCATCTTTCAGTCATTCACTCCATTTATTTATTCGTTTTTCGTTTGTTCCTATGTTATTCATCTTTTAACCACATTTTTCTTAATATCAAATTAATGGTTAAACTACTTTTATACTCAGGCACCAAATGGAAGCATATTCCTGGAATCGTTTTCCCCTGTTCACAAACATGCACAAGACTTCCTCATTGCTATAGCTGAGGTAATTCTTATTCTAATTTACTATTATAATAAAGCAAATCTTGTAATCAAGATTTTGTTATGTCCATTTATTAATTCAAATTTTTTTTATTTGTTATTTGCAATGAGATTTTTATATTTACTAAAAATAATTTTTGGTATTCAGCCTGTATCTAGACCAGAATTTGTGCACGAATACAAATTGACAGCATATTCCTTATATGCTGCAGTGTCTGTTGGCTTACAAACCAATGTCATCATTGAGTACCTCACAAAACTCTGCAAAACCAACATCCCTAATAGTGTTATTGAATTCATCAAGGTTCATTTTTTTCTGACATATACTACTTTAATATTTATGATTTACATAATATAACTTAGAATTTTTATTGAGAGATTTTTTTTAAGCTGTGTGATCCTACCATCAGTTATGATCTGTGCCTCCTTATAAACAGAATAAATAAATTAGTGTTCATTGATATTTTGTTCTGACCCATGCTTACATCATGTTTAAATCATTCGAACCAGCTATTTATCTGCTGATTTTTCTATAGTGTAACTAACTGTCATGTCTGCAAATACTGTAGAACTTTTATATATGTTTTATTTAGCATATTTGAATATGCCATCATTTGTTTAGTTTAATATATTTGCACACGATCCAATAGAAATAGTTGTTAGTTTGATTTTTCTTTAAAAATGACATCTTCCATTTTTTGTTTCTCCAGTCATGTACAGACAGCTATGGGAAGGTCAAACTAGTTTTGAAGCACAACAAATACTTCATTGAATCCCAATACCCGGTTCATTCATCATCAACTCATTCATTCATTTTTAGAATGTTTCATTTATTTTATAATTTAAATCAATTTTGTCTTAGTTAATCTGCACATCATCATAATAACAACGTCACTACTTTCTTCACTCTTTGTTTCTGAAAGGTTTTGTAGTTAGCATAAATAATGATATGTGGTTATTGCTATAGTGAAGGTGCTGACATTTCATTGCTTCTCATTGCAATCTTCCTTCTGAACATCTTCCTATTCATCCTCGTGCTTTCCTAATTGATTCAAATTTGATTGTATTTATTACTTCATTAAAATTTGTTTGTAGGATGTCATTCAGAAGTTATTGAAGGATCCGGTGATACAACAGTGCCGTTATGTTCCAGTGGATAATGAAAAGGCTGATGGGAATGGGAATGTAAATTTTGGTTCTGTCACCGAAAGACAGGGATTACAGGTTACCAAAGACTATATTAAAATAAAATACTTTGAAGTCACTGTACTGGAAAACATTTGTAGATGTTTTTCAAGTGTTTATTGCCAGCATGACAGCTGCATTTCTGTCAATCAATAATAATGTTAAAAGCTATTGTGATGGTATGTACATGGGTACGATGTTTCGTTATTCTAGCATTTTAAATTTTGTCCAAATTTTGAACAGCTGGCTAAAACTGGGAGCACTGGATCTCAAGGGAGCAGCTCAACAAACAGTCTGTCTCTTCCGTCAGGCAGTGGTAACATGGACGCAAAAACTAACAGTGAGGCAGTCAAAGTACCCGATGATCTGACAGAATTTTATAAAAAGATGGACCTTGACGACGAAGATGACGAGAATGTGCTACAGGTTGTTTCATTTGAAGTCATTACAGGCTGCCTGGAGAAGCTGCAAAAGAGGTAAACGGATGTTTCTAATGTCTTATTATTTATTTCGCTGAATGCATTTAATTTGCTGCTTAACTAAAAATTTTTGTAAGTTTTGCCATCAAGAAGAAAAATATAAAATATAAATTTGTAGTCTAAAATATTAATTGCACAAAAAATAATACAACTGCATAATGATTGCTGATTAAATATTTTAAAGATGTATTGATCTGGACTACCCACTTCTTTCTGAATATGATTTCAAAAATGATTCCGCCAACACAGATGTGAAGTTAGTATTTCTGTACACTTTCATTTTTTATTCTCATAATTTTGAACTTTTTTTGAGGAGCTTATTGTATAACCTATCAACGTGATGTAGGTCATTAGCATATTAAAACGTCATCGCCACAAGCAATTTTAACTTTTTGTGATCAGCAGTTACCATGAAATTAAATTAATTTTATAAATTCAGAATTGACTTGAGGTCGAACACAGTCCTGAGACCGTACCAGGAGAAAAGTCTGCGGAAGATGTTTGGCAATGGAAGAGCCAGGTCGGGAGTTATCGTCCTCCCATGTGGTGAGTTCTTGTTTAAAAAACATTTTTTCAATTTTTATGTGTCGCTGCACTCCTAGCTGATTGATTGATTTCTACACATTTTTTTTATAAAAAAAAACTAAAAATTTTAAAATAAGGGGCTGGCAAGACGTTGGTTGGTGTGACAGCAGCATGCACAATAAAGAAAAGATGTATGGTTCTGTGTACATCTGCTGTTGCTGTAGAACAATGGAAGTCGCAGGTAAGTCTTTTTAGATGTCATTTTATTTTTTTGTTGTGATAATGTTTTAGAATACTATTTTATTGGCTTGTATATGTTATGGTCCTCTGACAGATGTGTGATGATTTCATTTAATATGCATGACAATACCATTTTACAAGAAAACTTTCTATTACCTGACAACTTGTTCTACATAACAAAACACTCCTTTTGTTTTTCATAACATAAGCTTTCAAATATTTAAATTGTCCAGTTCAAGTTGTGGTCAACTGCTGATGATAGCATGGTCTGCAGGTTCACCTCAGATGCTAAAGACCGGCCAATGGGTTAGATTGTTATTCTTTAATATATAATTAATTGTTTTATCGCATTAGTTATTGTCTAATCATGTTCTGTCACCTTCATCATTTATTTATCTTTCGTTGGTTCTATCTATGTAACATTCAGTAATCTCAGACTGGCAGAGCTGGGTGGCTTGAAGAAACATTTCCTAGACTGCCAACTTTAACTACTTTGCTTTTTTAATCAATGCTATTTTTTTACATTTTGGTTTTTAAGATTGAAATAGGGAAAATTATAAATGAAGTCATTAAAACATTTTTCTGACATATCACTAATTATTTTCAATGGACTCACGATTATTGTCACTATCAGTAACGAACGATATCTCCTACATTCGTGAACTTCCAATGTTATTTAATGCTTTAAAAGGTTTCTTAGTAATGTTAATGTTGCTGAACTTTGATAACTTTGAACTTGCAGGATGCTCCATCTTCATAAGCACTTACTCAATGATCACCTACTCCAGTAAAAGGTCCTATGAAGCTGAAAAGGTTAGCTCGTCATCATGATGGATGAGTACGGCTGTTATGATGATGATGATAATGGTGATTTTGAGAATGATTATGATGATAATAATGGTGTTGATAATGTGCTATTTTGTCCAAATGTTTCGTTGGATTACAAACTTAGTTATTAAACTTTAATATGCACATTTTACAATTCAGGTGATGGAGTGGGTGAACAGTGTCGAGTGGGGACTGATGCTGCTTGATGGTTCGTTCAATCTCTTTGCACACTCCATATTTTAAATTTATCACGTTGTGTACTTATAGTTGCATGATTGCCTGATTCTCTTCAGAGGTGCAATTTGTGCCGGCCAAGATGTTCAGGAAGGTCATCTCGACGGTGAGGGCGCATTGCAAGTTGGGACTGACTGCTACACTCGTCAGAGAGGATGATAAAATCTGTGACTTGAACTTCCTCATTGGGCCAAAACTCTATGAAGCAAACTGGCTTGAACTGCAGAAGAAGGGTTTTATAGCCAACGTCTATTGCTGCGAGGTGATTGAACTCGGACTTTTTCTTTCTTTTTTAAATGGGCCACTTGTTTTGATTTCTTGTCATTTTAAATTGCTGATGTCCATGCACGCAATCTATATTTTTATTATATATACTCCTCATGTAAGGGGCATTATGGAAATTCTGTACCAGTACTTAATAATAATAATAATAATAATAATAATAATAATAATAATAATAATAATAATAACATCGAAGCAGTAAAAATATGAGATGTGAGAAAAATAATTTGATTAATTATTTCCAATGTTAATAACAAAAGGTTTGGTGCGACATGACTGCAGAATTTTATAAAGAATATTTGAATTCGTCAGCCAAAAGGGGAATGGTTTGTTTTTTTCCTCAAAATTTAGTTTATTTTTATTTTTAATGGGTTGATGCGGACGAACTTTTAATATCTTACACTCTTGAAATGTTAACTAAAAATGAAATTAATTTGGTAACTATTGTATTGTTTATGTCTATTTGACCAACCAACCAATCAACAGTTGCTGTACGTGACGAATCCGAACAAGTTTCTAACGTGCGAATACCTCATCAGGTACCACGAACGAAGAAACGACAAAATAATTGTCTTTGCTGATAATTTGTTTGCCCTGAAGACTTACGCCACTAAATTCCAAAAGTAGAGTATTTTCGTTCGCTCAGTTTTTATTATTTTTCATAAATTTAATTTATTTAATGAAATTTGTTTATTTCCAAAACGTCAACAGACCCTTCCTCTGCGGTAAAACATCAACGGAGGAAAGAATGAGAGTTTTGTCCAACTTTCAGAGGAATCCTCAAGTCAACACGATTTTCGTTTCCAAGGTTAGCTTCACCGATGATATTTTTTAAATTTAAAACAAATCAGTTGAATATGCATAGAGAAAGCATAAAGTTAAATAAAGCATAAAGTTAAAATGATATATTAACTCAAAGTTAAAATGATATATCAATATAAAGTTAAAATGATATATTAACATAAAGTTAAAATGATATATTAACGTAAGGTTAAAATGATATACTTTCTGCTGAACAGATAGCAGACAATTCTTTTGATCTCCCCGAAGCCAACGTCCTCATCCAGATTTCGTCGCAGGGCGGTTCGAGAAGGCAGGAGGCACAACGTCTCGGAAGAATTCTTAGAGCAAAAAAAGGTAGCACAGCATGGAATGTAATAATAACTACAACGTTCATTTTATATACTTTCTCCATACAATCAATTTTCGAATGTTTATTTTTTAATTGTTCTAAGGATTGCTTTTTTATTATTAGCTACAAAGAATTGTAATTTTAAGATTTTAAATCTAAATCACGACGACCATTACATTACATGTTTATCATCATCTGATCAGGAGCAGTAGCTGAAGAGTACAATGCATTCTTTTATTCGCTGGTCTCAAGAGACACAACAGAAATGTATTACGCGACCAAGAGGCAAAGATTTCTTGTAAATCAAGGTACTGAATGTTATATATATATATTTAGGATATTTTCTTAGTTATCGATATTTTACATAGTATTTCTCTTATTAATTACTATATTTGTTAATTAAGATCTAAAATGTTGTTTTCTTTGCCATCCATAGATTTGTCATGGCTCATTTTTTAATTATTTTAATTAGGTTATTATATAATTAATAAGGTTATTTTAATTACATTTAATTAGGTTACAGTTATAAAGTTGTCACGAAGCTTGCGGGCATGGATCAGGTACTGTCTTTGATTCTCTTCTGTCTAACTTTCTATTCATATTTATTAACAAGTCTCCTCCTCATTATTAACATCAGAGCAACAATCCTTAGTACTTCACAGCATAAAATTACATAATAGTATAATACATGTAACATATGTATATAGTACATGTACATGGTACAAACTGGTAACAAGTGTGTGTGTGTATGTGTGTGTTTGTATGTGTGGTGTGTGTTTGCATGTGTTAAACAATGAAAGAATAACAAAACACGCAGGAGGATCTAACTCTGTCGACAAGAGAGAAGCAATTATCGTTGCTGGCCGATGTGCTGGCTGCCGACGACGCCGAGATCGATGAGGAGGAAAAGTTCGATGATTCTAACAGTTTGGAAGGCACAAATTTCGTCGTAAAAGTAAATTTATTTTTATGATTTTTTGTTATTTTCAATATTTTTTTAAAGTTTTTTTCGTGATTTTTCAGTTTAATTTTTATAGAACATAAGTTTCTGTTATGCGGACAAAAATTTTTAAAGTTTTTCTAATTTTGATAATATATATTTTTCTCATTTACTGACTTTGATGAACATCTGATTCTAATTTGTGGTCATTCATCTACTGATATACATGACCATTTACGAGGGAGAATGAACTTTTTAGATTTAATGTGAATATCCTGGTGGATGTTACATTGTTACATTGGGACAGTGTTCAAATGCTTGCAAAAAAATGCAACTGGTCAATCACACATTCGATTTTCTTATATAAATTTATTTGGATTGGTGTTTTTTTCTGAAACTACTTGTGTTGAACTTTCGCGTACATTCAAAACATGCAAGCAAACTAATTTCATCATGCTATCACGCAGAGTGGCGTTCAAAGAAGGGTCGGGAATATGAATTCCATGTCAGGAGCCGATGACGCGGTCTACTCGGAGTACAAAAATTTGTGCAAGAAAACTCCGTCAACGTCATCATCACAACATCCCCTCTTCAAAAGATTCAGGAAGTGTTAACGGGCTTCATTCAGTTGGACGAAAGTGGAGAATTCTGCCTAATTTGTGATAATTATGAATGATTATGCATCTATTATTGTTTTCATTTATTCTGACAGTTATAAAATGATATTGAACCAAGTGTACAGTACTGTTGTTAATAAATAAATAAATATATATGCTTATAAATAAATAAAAATATAAATAAATTTGAATGTTAATAAATAAGTATATATGCTTGCAAATAAATATGAATATGAATAAATGCTTGTAACAAACGTGAAAGATAACTGCAAAAGTTAAAAAAATTGTTTTTAAATTTGTCGCGAGTTAAACTACGGATAGGTTAAACCTGTTGGTAAGATGGCTATTTATGAGATGCTTTAGATAAAAATAATGAAATGACAGTGTTAAGCACACACATATATTCACGCACACACCCACATACATACACGCACATAATATTTTGTTTCTAATTTATTTTGATATCGTTACGGAAATACATCACATAAAAGGTGTTTACATTTTACAAATCTTTTATGGCAGATAAAAAATTATAGCAAATAAAAAAGTAATATTGATAGCATATTTAGTTAATTGCGGTCTTCGATTTTTGTACAGAACCGCTCTGACGACGATATTTATTTATACTCTCATTGAATTCACTCTAACCTTCTCGAAAGTATTCAGCTGAGGGGATTGTTTTTTATTATCTTGCAATATTTCCCCATTGTACTTCATCATATTGCGTTTATCAACGAAAAAATAAATAAAAGGCGGATGTAAATTTCTTCTTTCAATGGCAACCTCGCAACACTTACCGACTCTTTTGTTGATGCTAGAAAAATAAGCACGCATCCATGCGACTATGCCATGTCCTCCATCTGGGTGCTTCCATGTGTGCAACGACTGCAATCTCTCTAGGACAATCTGCCTACGTTTTCAAGTGTTTGCTTACCTTTTTTTACGTTTGGTAATAATTCAATCATTGCCATCTCATTGACCTCATTACCTCATTAAATATGTTACATTCGTCAAAGCCAATGGCTATATTTTAGAGAAAAGAGTTATTTAAATTTATGGAACTGCAATACTGCATTCCTTTTGATTAAGTTACTAAACTATTGTGTTAGACTTTAATTTGAAAAATCATAAACACATAAGTTTGTGGGTTTTGATTGAGTATGGTTTTAATTTAAAGGTGGATGGTAGCCGCTGAGAATAATCAAGATTCTTTCTTTGGGAAACGAACGTGCGTGTTTATTTGATGTAGTTTTATTAATCATCAACTATTTGGTCGGATAGAATCGTTCGGTCTGGTAGATTGAAATTAGTTGATTGATTGATTGGGGCTAGCTATCTGATGTTTCTTATTGTTGTACGATGAATGCATTTGCATTGCATATATATTCATGAGGATTTTGCCTTTCGGAGTACGTATGATGTTTAAATTTAGCGCTGCTTGTTTACTGTTTGAGCCACCCCAACGCATAATCGCAATTTTGCAATTTTATTGTTAATTGGCACATATCGATGACTGTAACATGAGAGATTACATGATGGCGATATGACAATGACAGATTGCCTTCTAATGTGAGTTGGTGTAAGTATGTATGAGTGTGTGTGTGTGTGTGTGTGTGTGTGGATGTGTGTTGTCTGTGTGTGTGTTGTCTGTGCGTATGCATGTACGTGTATGTGTTTGGTAGTTATGTTTTTTTGTGCTTTCTAGCTTTTGACAATAGTTTTGTTTTTAACAAAAAGTTTGCTGAGTTCTTAAGTTAGTGTTGATGCATGTAAAATAGTTTAATAATTAAGGATTTTATATTTTGTTGCTTAATGAATGTTGGCCTTGAGAGTTTCCAAGTAGCTCCTTCTTTTTCATGTAACTGCCTGTTCTTTTTTATCGGAACGCTTGTTTGGATGCAAATACATTAAATGATTTACACAGCTGGAAAGCTAAATTTATCTGATGACATTAACTTGAATTATTTATAAATTATTTTGTGTCATTTTGAAATTCATTGCAACTCTTATAGATGTGCACACGTGTGCCCTTTAAACGCGCAAACAAAACAAAATGTTGAAAATGAACATAATTATTCATTGTTATAATTGAATAGTCAAGTTTGACATAATGATTTTGCCGACACACACGCACATGCAGAGTTATACAAGAAAACATTCTTTATTGCACCTTACACACGTTCAAATACAATGCATGTGCACATGCATGCACGCACACACATGCACACGTGCACGCATATACATTACATATATATTGCAGAGCAGCCAGAGAGTTTAATTTTCTTGACTTTCATTCACGTGACATTTCTTTTCATTAATGTCCTTGTGATAAATATGTTGTGTTTAATCTGCCATGCATTCTTGTATCTCTCCTTCTTGCTCTCTCTTTCTCTATCTCTCCCTCTTTTTCTTTTTTCAGTTTTTCAATAAATAAATAAATATACTTACATGCATATGTACACACACTTATAGGTGAACGTCCAATTACGTACATCCCACGGTTAAATGTACGTTGGTTTGAGGAATCCACTCATGATGCAGTACTTGCATTCTTGTTTCATTTTTTATTTCATGTTTTCAAAAAGATTGATGAAGGTTCAGTCTTCACATTTCTTTATTTGCAGGTTCTTACTAGTTTTGTGGCCAGATATTATAAAAATTTAAATAGCTTTCTTCAGTTAAAAATTTTTTGACGAGTGTAAAAAAATTTAAATTTTTACTGAGAATAAGAAAATTATAAAAGTTAATTAAGAAGCATGGGTTGAATTTTCAACAGGAAATTTTGATTTACGCTAGAGTATTTTGCGCGGCTGATCGCAGTATTTACTTTCGTACGGTCAGAATAGTTTTTGTAATTTAAAATTTTTTTAAACAATATCTAAAATTAAACTGCCAGTTTCATGGTGTCAAAGTTTATTTCATTTATATGAATTACTTCCATTTAAATTATCAAAGAGCATTAAAGTGCAGTCTATAAATAGAATGAATAAGGAGAGATGTACCCTACATATATAAATTGTACTTACGAACACAACGTGTCCATTACTCTGTTGATGTCGAACATCATCTCACTTCAATTAAATTCCACACACTCCTCTTTCCTGGAAATCAACTACACTTTTTACTTATCTACTTTTTTTAGGAAGTGTTAGAATTTTTTTTCTACTTATTTCATCGTCTATGGTCTATCTAATTTATAATTAATTACAAGATTTAAGTATACATGTATCTCATTTATGTTATTGTCATCGTCATCATTATGTTTATCATCATCATCATTTTTGTAATTCTCATCTTCACCATCATCGTCATCGTCATTCCACTTACATGGTTGTTGGCTTTCATGGTTCTGTGCAATAGGGATTGATTCATTCAAATTTCTCTTGGCCTGGTAGTGATTGTAACATGCGCATATTCACTACGTACAATATTTACGCATTTCATTTTATAAAAATTGTTTTATAAAGTTTACTACATGGCATATATATCTGGCCAATTAAAATGATTGGCTTTCTTGTCATTGAACACATTTTTTACTAAAAAGAAATGTAGTTTTCTTTACAATAAATACATTTTGGACGTAATTGTGAAACAAAACATTTAAAAAAATGAACGGCAAGCATTCGAATGCGCACGTGAGATATCGATCTCTAACTTGTTCAATAAAATTTGTTTCCCTACAGACACCATCAATTTGAACATTGGTACTGAAAATTATTTAAAAGATTTATTTAATTAGTTAATTAATTAGTTAATTAATTATTAAATTGATTGATTGGTGTCAGTGTACAATATATGCGGTTCAACGTGAAAACAACTGGATGGATGGATGTTTGACAATTGTAATTGTAAGAAATACAACAAAACTGAACCATTGCTAACGTAAAATATTTCATTTCATTTCATAAAAACTTTTATGTTAAGGGTAAAATTTACTAAAGAATACTTTATATTTTTAAGTAAATTATGAATAGTTTATGTTAATTGATGCGTGTTTGCAATGAATAAATTAGAATAATAATCAACGTAGGAGAGCATTGAAATGCAAGTACACGCACGACATGAAAATAACTGCTGCTGCCATGTTTGCTGGGATGTTCCTCAAACCTTTTACAAGATATTGCCCATGTCACCATGTCACTTGGAAAAAGTAAATAAGAACAATGGTGAACAGTTGAAAAAAAAGTAGAAACTCTATAGCAGGAAAGGTTAAAAATAGATTGCTATTATCCATTTAAACAAACATGCACGTTTGCTGAATGCACAAACTGATGTACACATGGATGTTGTATTATACATACATTTGTAATGCATACATTTCGGCAAAGAAAACATAGAAGATATGCATTCCTACACAAACACATATAGATATGAATATTTAAAAGCAAACATTCTTTGTGGATGTCTAAGCCCAGTGTGCACACACACAGACAGACAGACATGCATATGTGTGGTATGGAACATACGTGTGGTGTATATAAAGGCATTGTACGGAAGTCAATCACGTGTACATATGCATGGTCTTCGTTTGTGTGCATTTATTTGCTTTAACGATGCTCTTAAGTAACGTTCGTTAGATTTGGATTAACACCACTATCAGTACCGACATTCATTTTTTCTGCCAACTGCTGGCTTATATTTGTTGGTTGTGGCAGGCAAGGACGAATGTCGTTATATTAATATATGCACACGTAGGTACACTTACTTGTAAACAGTAGATTTGTAACACACAGACATTCACACACAATTGATTTTAAGATACATGACATATCTTTTGTTGAATTATTAATTGTAAAATAAATTTAAATTTTTTTGTCAGAAATAGACATTTAAATGGCAAAGAAGCGATTAAAAATGTGGAACGTAGAATAAATGTGATGGGCAATTAACAACCGATCGTAACATGAGAGCCGCTTCAGAATATTATAGAAATGACTCACTTGTTGTAGACGAGCAACTTATAACATTTTTTCAAAGGCCGCCAACCTCCAATTACC